GCTCCCCTGGAGGTGCCTTTGGGGCTTGGGGCCTCTCTTTACTCTTTAGCTTCTACCTTCCTTCCAGCTCAGTGTTCCCTGGGCCGCAGCCCCCAGAACCGAGTCCATTCTCCCCTCCTTCCCCCTGGACTGTGCCCAGGGTCCATCTTCCTCCCCAGTGCTCAGAGTAGCAACCGTGGCTCCACAAGGACAAGGGCTAAACCTGATTGGTCCAAGCTAATCCCCTTCCCAGGGACTGGCTTGTAAGTTGGCCAATGGGATCATTTCCCTGCTCTCCATGCCTCCCAAGTAGGTGTGAAGCTTGGAGCTACATGAATCTTGAGACCAGAGAGGAACGGGTGTGAGGACAGGCCAATGTGTGGAGGACCGCAGAGGAGAGTGAGGGGGGAGCCTGGGTCCTTGAATACACTGCTAAGCCACTCAGACTCCACTTGCCATTATGTGAGAGAATCAGCTTTCCCCATCTTGAAGGTTTGGTTATTTGCACCCATGTTCACATAGACGAATCTGGTAAAAACACTGAAACTTCCCCTGGAAAAAAAGGCTCAGATGCAGAGTGTTGAGCAATCGGGGTGGGGGGGGGATCTCCTCATCCCCCAGAGGCCATCCACAGGCCACCACTAGGTAAGAAATGCCTGGTCAGGAGATCTCAGTCTTCAGTCATTACTGTCACCCCCGATGCTGGCTCTCTGGGAAAGCAGGTTGGTTCGGTGTTGAGCCGACCACCAGGCGGAAGGCAGGAAGGATGAGGTGGTCTGTAGCACCCAGAGGCAGTCCCTGCTTTCTGTCCCACCAGAAACCATAAGTGCCCCTGAGCATAGTGCTGGGGACTGGGCAGAGCTCCGTGAGAGCTGGCTGGTCGTATTTTATCTGTTTCAAGGACAGGTACGGGTAATCTGCCCCCCCCGCCCCGCCACCCCAGGACAGGTTTGGACCTCTGCTCTCCGGGAAGTGGGTCCACAGCTGACAGTCGCATGTTTCAGCTCTCCAGGTTCTCTGAGGTCCTAACCAGGAGGGATTTCTGGGGTGGAGGCCACGTGGATATGAGACTGATCTCTGAACCAGGCCAGCTCCATCCTATCCTGGTCAGGGGCCATCTCTGAGCCTCGATGGGGGCACAGACCTAGGAGGGCCAGGCTTTCAGCCCAGGGGGTCTGGGGGTGGGGGAGGAGACAGCCTGGCTGTAAGACCCCAGCATTCCCCCCCACCCCACAGCAGCTGTGTCTCAGCCTGTTCGTCTGCTGTCAGTCTGATCGAAGCCTTCCTGAGAAGGCCAAGTTAGTCCAGCAGACTCTGGGATCTCATTTTGAGCTCATTTTACTTTCCTTACTAAGGTCCTCATTTACTTTCCTTACTGAGGTCCTCATTGCAAACAGCAACGACAAAGTACAAAAGCGCACCGGAAGTCACTATGAAACATCTGGGGACTAAGGTCTTGTCTGCAGCACCTGGACACAGGGCCCAGCACCTGCAGGGTGCTTCACGTGAGCACCTGCAGAGGAGCCTCAAAGGAAACACAGGTTTGAACCCGCTTTTTAAAATATGAACCGTGGGCGCCTGGGTGGCTCAGCCGGTTAAGCGGCTGCCTTCAGCTCAGGTCATGGTCCCAGGGTCCCGGGATCGAGTCCCGCATCGGGCTCCCTGCTCGGCGGGGAGCCTGCTTCTCCCTCTCCCTCTGCCTGCCTCTGCCTACTTGTTCTCTCTCTCTGTGTCAAATAAATAAATAAAATCTTTAAAAAAATAAATAAATAAAATAAAATATGAACCGTAATGGCATAAGCTCTAGTTAAATCTACTGATAAAGCAAGTTACATTCTGATTAGACTCACATCCAATTTTGTCTCTCAGACCACAGTCATGAAACAAGATGTATTTCACAAGATGTTTCCTAATTATACATCTTCAATTAAAAAAAAAAAAAGCCTCGCCATTGCATGATATCCACAGATCATTAAATGTCTATCACAATCCATGCCCAAGTCTTTCAATGCAAAAGATGGTTGACATTTAACTGGGAACTTTTAAAACACTTGAGAATAAATTATGACCCAAACTTACCCTTCTTAATGACATGTATAAAGTTCAGCTCTTTAATAAAAGGATTCAGGAATACGAAAACAAAGTTCCCAGCAATATTAAGGAAATAAAGGTCCTGCAAAATGGTCAGTTCTTGTTTCGATTAAGTTGTGCATTTTTAATATAGTTGGTATAAAGTGAAACCCTTAAAAAAAACACGTAGGAATTTAAAATAAAGTGGAACATCCTATTTTCAGGGTCACCAGTACCACAGTGAGATTTGTCTCTTAAACAATGACACTTAGTATCTCTGTAGTTCCAGGAATACTTTTGAAGTGTCATATTAAAACCAATCTCATGGCCTTGAGGCAAAGAGAAGCAATTAGTCTTGGAGTTGTGAATAAATAAAAATCCATTTATACACCCGTCCTTGACATGTACCTTGCAAATCTTAGAAACTTCATCTAGTGGGAAAAGAAATGTTAAATCATGAATACCAATACTAATCATATCACCATGTGGCTTCCTAAAACAGTTTGGTTTATACCAATCTTTTAAGTATGAATGTATATGTATATATTCATCCATGTTGAACACAAAACAAAGCCATTCTAGCTGGCACCTAGGAGAGGGTGGGGAAGGAGTGAGGGATGCTAGGGGCCCCAAGGGCCATGACAAGTAGGTTTTCAGTGGGTCTGCTCCTCAAACAGGAGCCTGGTGCGTTTTCCCACATGCTCCCCTTCCCTCAAACACTCAAAGACCTGGAAATGGGGTAGGCTCTGTCCCCGAAGAAGTTTGTATCCACACCCTGCTCCGTTTGTGATCCCAGCCCCGTATTTAAGGGAGGACTCAGGAGGTCGAAGTATTTGGATACTTGCTTCACTTCTAATTTGGGTCCATTCCTTCAGTGCTGGGTGGGGTGAATGCGGATGGGGGACTTTGCTGTTCCGGAGCAGCTGGGGCAGTCGGCCACCTAGGAGAGTAGACCTCCTGGGCCTGGGCTGGGCTGGCCCCAGTGCAGAGAGCAGAGAGTGGTGCTGTCAGGTCAGAGCTAGGAGCCAGAAGCCCGGAGGCTCCAAGGCGTGGGGAGCTGAGTGGGCAGCCCGTGGGCCCCGCTGGAGCTGCTGCACAGATCCCTGACCTACTTCCAGGCCCCCTTTCTGTTCTAGGAGCAGCTAAAAATCCATAAATTAAGGAAATTAACTGATGGGGCCTGCGGCATCTTTGTAAGCTATTTAAATCTATAAATTTACAACATCTTCTGCATATATCAAGTAATTGAACTAACTGCAGGGATGTAACTTTAATGAGAAAATTTCCCCCTTCTCCTGTAGTTCGAGCTCTAAAATAAATAAATAAATAAAACATTCCCTTAGGAGTAAAGTTTCTGCTTATTCCCGCGTGGAGAAGTTACAGAAGCGCCGTCCGGGCGCTCTTTCCACGCGCGAGGTGCCCTAGTGAAGGGAAGCAGGTCCTGACTTTGTCCTTCTGCCACCAGCGGCCCCCGCCCCCTACCCCCAGCCTCGGGCCGCACCCCCCCTCCGTGATCGAGGCCGCTAGAGGGCGTCTAGGTCCGGCTGAGCTCCGGGTGGGGGCCCCGCGCCGCTCCCGGCGGGAGCGCACCCGCCCTCCAGCCCGAGCCTGCCTCTGGCCCGGGCGTCCCCGGAGCCGGACGGGGGCGCAGTGCAGGCTAGGCGCACTGGAGACTCCGCGCTTCGTTTCCTAGGAGTCGGGAAATGGAGTTGGGGGTGGGGGAGAGCGGGCGGGGCGCACGGGAAAGAGGAGAAAGAGGAACGGGGGGAGGAGGAGGAAGGGGCAGCCGACCTGGGGACCTGGGAGGGACGCCCCGGGCGCTGGCCTGGGCGCCCGGGGGAGTCTTGGCCGCAAACGTCTCCGCCGCGCCGGGTGCGGAGAGGAAATGGCGCGTCTGGCCTCGGGCGGCCGGCCGGGCGCCCCCCGCGCGCCCCTCCCCCGCGGTGGCCGACCGCGTGTGCGCAGACGTCACGGGCGCCGCTGCTCCCCGGCAGAGGGGCAGTCGGGGCCGAGACCCGGGGAGGGAGGCCGTGGAGGGGGAGGGGCGGCCCTGGCCCCCGGCTCCGCTCCAGCCCCGGCCGACTCGCAGCCCAGTTTCTTCCCAAGTCCCGCCCCTACCCCCGGGCGCCGCGGCGGCGGCTGCTCTCCTCTTTGTAACCGAAGAGTCAAGAAATGTGAGAAACGTGCCCTGTGTTACTTATTTGGGAGCCGAAAATTTATGCCCAGCTGAAAGCGCCCGGGGAAATATTACATCAGATGAAATGACAATGATTAAAATCAGCTTCTCCCCCGCCCCCTCCCGAGCCCGGAGGAGGCCCGGGCGCCGCGTGGCCGGCCGGCGGGGGGCGGGGGGCTGGGCGGCGGAGGGCGCGGGGGCTCGGGCGCACCGCTCCCGGGAGGGTCCTGGCGGAGGCCCCGGCGGGAAGACGCGGGCTCCGGGAGAGGCGGGTGGGGATCGCCCGGCGAAAGGAGGGGAAACAGCGCATTTTTGTCGCCGAGCGCGGCAGGCGCGGGCGCGCGGAGCTAATTGCGACTCTAATCCTCTGCCCCGCGGCGCAGCCGAGCCCCGAGCCAGGAGTCGCCGCGCGCTCCCGCTCGCGCTCACCGCGCTGGGTAATTTGGAGCCGGATCGCTGCCCTCTGCGTCCGGGCTGGGCCGCGACGGGGCGCGGGCTACGGACTGGGGTGGGGGGCTGGTTTTCTCGCCAGCAATCAGGGAAGGCCGCTGAAGAGAGAGAGAGAGGAGGGAGGAGAGGAGGTGGGAGCGGCGGGAGGGCAGCCGGAGAGCGGCGCGAAGAGGAGGCGGCGGCGGCGGCGGCGGCGGTGGTGGCGGCGGCGGCGGCGGCCGCGAGGAGGGGAGGAGGCGAGGGGAGGGCGGGGAGGGGAGGCCCCGGCGCGCCGC